AATTACATACACGTTTAAATATCTGGAGGATATGGCCATTTGCGTACACAAGTGGGCTTGACGAGCAGCACAGGTTGCACTGGCTCGAAAGGAATGTTTTATTTTAAGTAAGAAGGCACACACCCAGTTTCAACTCTGTGTCACCTTCAGACAGTGCATGGCTCATCTTAAGTTCAAACCACTACTTCATAAATCATATTTATGTTAATTTCAAATGCTACTGTGATTACTCATAGTTTGGCAAACAGTCATGATTTACGTGTCCATCATAACTGGTTTTCTAATATTAAAAAATACTTCTGTCTTGAAGAAGGAACTTCCTGGCATCCAAATTAAATGCAACTGCTTTTTTATTTGGGACCCATACTTTTGACAGCTATCTTCCCTCTGTGGCAGGTAATTTCTCAAGGCCTAGAGCCTAAATTTGGAAAACCACAAAGACACTGCCTATACCTCTTAGACTGGGGGATTTTAAGGCTCCTTCAGATGGGAGGTAAGCACTGGTGCCTTGTACAGAGGCAAGATACTGTCCATCCACAGTTAACCTGGAGTACCTCACTACAGGCTTGCCTAGCTACTCTCTCTGCCTCTGTGTAATCTGTAGAATAAAATCTCCCCCAAATCCCATGTGAGTCCTGAACAGTCAGTCTGCTGCTTCCTAGCTCTGCTTGAACTCCTGCTGTTGAGCTGGCTGTGCCTGGTCTGGCAGGGACAGCATCACACTGACATCCCTCATTCATAATACCAAATTATGCCAAATAAGTGTGTGTGTGATAATGTTCATAAACTTAAAAATAAAACCCAGTGCGATATCCTGCTGCCACCTAAGCTCAGGCATTAGTTCTAACCAGAGATGAGCAGCAATCCCATTGGAATCTGTCAGCATGCCCCATTAATTAGTCAGAGGATTGCTATCAAACCTGCAGGCCCTGCACAGGTCAGCCTTCAACAGGAGATGTGTGTTTATTTGTCTAATATCAGTGTCTGTTTCTTTCAAGATAACATACGTCATACATCAAGAATTTATAACTCTTGTGCAGGTCTTGCCTCTGATAATGATATATTAAAAACATATCAGCTTCCTGATTCTGCAGTACAACAATACACTTCAACCAAGCTGGAAGAAATAAACTAACTGATTGAACCTCAGGTTTTAAAAAGCTTTTATTGTTTCAGGAGCTAAGGGTAACAATATTTAAGCACTTTAAAGGCTTCTTTATGAAATGCAGCTATGCTCTGAGATAAAGGGAAAAAAGGTTCTAAAACTGATAGCTGAGTTTACCATTTGAATTGTCTTCACAGCAAAGTTACTCAATTTACTTCTCATCCCCTCTGCCCAAAATGCATGCAATGAGAGCTTAAATTGTACTCCATTCTTGGTCATTTTTGCAACCTTCTTTTGTTGCTATTTAATGAATAATTTTACTAGTAGTGCATAAGCCATGGTAAAATACAGTTCACTCTCCAAGTTATCTTGGCTCAGCAAAGAAATAAACAGTAATTAAATGAAGCATCTAGCATCCTGTTGACAAGAAATGAAACAGTAGGTGTGGAAACCATTGGGAAGTTTGGCCACCAGATGTTGTAATGAACTGAACATTAACATTCTTGGGATTGTCCAAATGTGAACTGAGTGCAAATGCTGTCTGGGAAAGGGATCTTCTACATGGAGGAAAACAAAATCAAGCGCTTTCTTGGACCTGTCTGCTAAATAACTTATTAGTACCCAGATTTTGTGCTTTACACAAGGGGGAATCTTCCCCAGATTGTGTATTTCCTATGTTTTGTTTTGTTGTTTTTTTTCAGATACTGATTATTTTCACTGTCTTCTATGCAGGCTTCTAGCCATCAGTTTTCTGGCAGCCTGATTACAATAAAGAGTTTAAGCCTGCAAATGAACACAAACTAGCTGAGCATCCCCATCCCCTGTGCAGGAGATGTAAAAAGCAATGTTTTCCAAAAAGTAAAGTACGAGTTCCTTGCAGGCCTTGAGAAGTAAATGGGAGATATATGCTTGCAGCAGGTGACCCTATCCTGAAAACAGACTCACTCCTCTGTGCACAAGAAGCCTTTCACCAAGAGACAGAAGTGCAGCACTTCCAGGTACACTGGAGGTGATACAGATACCTCAGTCTGTCAGTGCCTTGTCTTCTCAGGCCCCAGGGCTGTTTTTGCATTAAAGCTTCATACAGAGATTAGTGGCCAGTCCTGAAATGCAGGGAAACATCTCTGCCACTTTTTCTCTTTGCACAGAGTTTAAGATCATTGCAGTTTTGCTCTCATCATTCAATGGGAGCTTGTTTGATTTCTGGGCTGGAGCTTGATCAAAGGTCCACTGAAATAAACACACGCCTTCTGAGCTTCGTGGACTTGGGAATCAGGCAGCTGATCTGCCTGAAAAATTTCCCAGTAGCAGAGCTGAAAAGAAGTATTTGAATGATGTCATGAAACTTGTTTGGCACACAGAAAGGGCAGGGAGTTCTGGAAAGAAGCTGCAGCTTTACAGAGAAAATTAAAACAAGGGCAAGGCAAGGATATGTTTAGGAAGGATGCCTGGACTAAGTGATCGAGAAAGAAGCTGGAAGCAAGCATCACAGACCTATGCAGGGATATAGAGATGACAGGCCCAAGATGAGAATCAAGTATTTAAGCAATGCAAAAAAGCAAGAAGAAATAATTGGCAAGGTTCAAATGAAAAATGGCATGGATAGAATGGAAGGAGAGAAGACTTTGATATACCAGTAGTAGAGAAAGATTGTACAACACAAAGTGAAAAAAAAGTGAAGTAGGAAAAAAAAAAAGGCAGCCCAGAAAAAGAAACAGGCTAAGAGCAGAAAGTAACTTGTGGACACAAGAACATGTTGCACCTTTAAGTGTACCTTGCTTATGTCTCTGTGTATAAATGTGTGTAAAGGAGCATAAAGTATCTGGTAGTTAAAGGACTGCTTTTAATCTGAAATGAATAAATGAATTTGCTACGTGTGCATGTCCTCTCCAGTAAGAAGTTCATCATCCTTGTATTGTGCTTGCTTCCGATGCGCTCTCAACAAAGAGAGTATATATTGCGCACCGAAGTTTTGGGCTTCTGCTGTAATTGGTATTTCAATGCAAAAACATTTCTGCAATAAGAGTAATTTAATGTGGCGTGTTTTTTCAAGTTACCTGCCAAACAGTGCTTCTGAAGATGTTTGCACAAGCTTCCTGTCATTTTACAAACTTTTCAAACTAGAGGTTTAAAATTGACAATATTAGGTTATGTGGTTTCTCAGTTGAACTAATGTAATCTGGACTGATCAGCTCACTTCTCTATAGTCAAGTCAATTTGCGTTCACTTGCCAATCCAAATAAGAACTGAACTTCAAGTAGATTATTAGAACTTCATGTTCTATTTAAATACTTGCTTTTGTTGTGCTGGTATGTCATTGCCTGACCACTCATAATTAGAGCTTGTTGAGAGACTTTTAAATGCTGTTGTATCAACCCCAAATTTTTTGAGTCAAAACGAAAAGGGAGAGGTCCAAAATAGTGCATAATTTAGTGGCTGGAGTACTTGAGGGAAGACTTCTATCAGATGGATCTGAGCCTCCTTCTTGTGTAATGCACAATTCAGTAGGACTCTGATGAGCTTTGTAATGATACCCAGCAAGGCCGCTCAAAAGGACATGCTTTATTTAAGGATAAGCCTTAAAACAGAGTGGTCTTATTTGCTTCAGAATCAGTAGTTAAGGCTGCAGGGATGTGCTGGTTGCCTATAAATGAGTATTAATATCCAAAGGCATTCATTACTTTAAAAAGAGGGTGGGCAGGGGCAAAGAAAAAAGAAGTGGAACTTCTAACCTATTTAAAAAAGGTATTAACATTGTGTTTCCCTCAAAAAAAAAAAAAAAAAAGAGGAAAAAAAAGGACAAACATGCAGTCCTATTAATCTATAACAGTTTTAGCTTATCAGTGTTCACCAGAATATGGCTCAGTCCTGCTTAAACATGGGTTGCCGTGGTTTGAGTCTTGTGCTTGTGTAAGGTATGCATGTACACAGGAGCATTCTTGTGAATTCTGGATTTCATGCTTTACTTTTTAAGGGCTTAATTTGATTAGTAGCTGAATGTATAATCATCATCTTACCCTCTAAAGCTCTATTATTCCATATCCTATCTCCCATCCTACTTGACACTGAGCTATCAGTAAATCTTTGGCCAACAGGTAACAAGAAAAACTAATGGGCAAATAAATCATTGCATCTCGCATTGTGAACACACACAGATGAAATAACTTGTAAAGCTTATTCATATTTCACATTCTTGGTGCAGTATGCAAAAGTGCTGTTGGGTTAGGGCAGGGTAGAATTAAAGATCCCAGGGCATTTCCTGGGTGTGAAGAAGAGCTGTGCAGATAAGCAGTATTGTGCCAAAAATAAGTTTAAGATGTAAAGAGAGGAACCTAGGGAGGAGTTGGAATTGTACTGAAGGTCTGAGCACCAGAAGGAACAAGAACAGAGATCCTTAGAAACGTTCTTAAAATTGTGAGCAGTGGTGCCACCAAAGCCCGTTTTTGATACAGTTATATGTCACGGCTGCGTATATCCCAGTATGGAACTCTGATATTTTGCAAAGGTTAAGCAGAAGCTTTGATAGGAGTCACCTCCTTGCCAGATACTGTTTTTAATTAAACCTGTAGAAACTTAGTAATACTCTGTCAAGTTTGGTTGTAATTGGAAAATAGTTTCAAAAGGTTTTTAGGGGAGAACAGACTGGCTTACACATGTACATAAGCTTTAAACCAAATATTTTCTGCCTGATGTTAACACTTTGGTCATGGTGTCTCTTTTACTTTTAATGACCAAGTTTGAGAAAAGAAACACTGTCTGTCATTCATTATTGAAGTCAATGTAGTTAATTTGTATTCATACAGAACCCATGCCATTAAAGTTCATTCAAATTCAGTGTTACTTCCTTTTCAGTCTCTTGCAATAGTAACAAAGAAACTTGTTTCCTTAATTCTAGGGATGTAATCCTCTTGCTGAGACTGGTAGAAGCAAACTGCAAAATCAAAGAGCTGCCCTAAACCAACAGATCTTAAAAGCAGTAAGAATGAGAGCTGGTGCTGAAAATCTTTTAAGGTACGTATCATGACTTCCTAGTTCTCTTGCCTGAGCAACATTTATTTTTTTTTTTTAATTTTTTAAATGTCTCTTAGCCGTTGCTTTTTCCCAGTCTGCCTAATTGCTCCCCTAACATGCTGCATAAATTACTGCTGGGTGCTTTGTGAATATCCCTGAAGTTTTTTTTAATGCTGTAGCTCTATAGGGTCATTACCTGCTATAAAGTGCACTTTCAAAGCTGTTATGTTGTAGCAAATGAGCTGAATGTTAGACTATCTTATGTTGCTCTGTTTGATCAGCTTTATTGCTAGTGATAATGGCAAGTGAACCTTGCCAAATATTGTAATGTTATTTATTCTATGTAGTAGTGATAGAGAAGTAGCAGGGTAGTGCATATCTAATTTGAGCTAGGTTACAGTTGCCACCAAATTCTCCTACAGTTTGAGGTAACTGGAAGAGATTTCTCCTTTATCTATTACATTTTGTCCACTGAGGATTTTTTTTTTAAGACACAGTTTCTTACGTGGCTGTCCCCATAGGAATAGCCTTATGTTGACCCTGTCTTGAGGCTATTACGTCCTGTCATTAACTGCTTAGCAAACAGTCCTGTAGCTTTCCAACAATCCATCTCTCTGTTACAGGGAAGAACTGAAAATTTCCCCAGTACTCATCTGCAATAGTGCCCTATAGTGTCTGTTTCCCTGCAACTGGAGCAACAATGGGTCTCCAAGAACAAAAATCTAGTCAATATACTTCCCTTAGAGAAATGAAAATGCTTGGATAAATTAACTTTTCTTAAACTTGCCATTACTTGATAGGTTGCCCTTTGCCTGTCAGCCGCCTTTATCTCCATGCTTGGCAAGAGAGGTGATAGGTCCAAAGCTTACATAGTTTTAGCCTCTGTGACTGAATTTTGCTTTGTTTTCTGGTAATTGACTTAAGGAGTAAGACTTAGGGTTTTTTGCTTCCTTTTCTATGTATAGCCAAATTCTTATATCTGCTTTTGAAACTAAACACTGTTTATTCAGTAGATGTTTCTGCATGCCAACTCAGGAGTGTTTTGGAAAGGCTAAAGAGATGAGTAATATCTAATATGAACACTGGTTACCATAACATTCAACCTAGAGATGTCCTAAAGTTCAGCTCCTGACACCAATATGAATGGCTGAAATTCTGAAGTTGCTATGGACAAGACTGGGAACTAAGCCCATTTGAAGATTAGAGGATTGGACTTATTTCTAAGTTATAAATGAAATTTATACCTAAAATGAATTTATACCTGTTAGACTATTAAAACTTGCTAGTTCTTTGAAAGAAGCAATTTTAAAAGTAACCTGACCACTAGACAGTTCACATGACTAGATGTATTTACAATCTCCTAAGGAAAAGCATAAATTCACAGATAACACACATTTATTATGTGAAGTACAAGCTTAGAATTTTAACTTTGGAGTAACTAGTTCTTCACCAAGCTGCTCCATAAAACTGGAGGCTTGTTCCAAGGGGAGCCTAGATGTACGAGAGGATTGTGCATAAATATTTATGAGGGTGAATTAATCTTAAAATAAAGGCAAATTCAAAATGCTGCAAACTTAAAACAAGTTTGTTATTGTCTAATGATTTGGACTCTTCAATACAGGGGTACAATATCTTAAGCCTGGATAGGGATCATATCTTAAACTCATACCTGTGGTTACAGATAACAGTTTAAGTCTCTTGAAAACAGTAATGCTGTATGGAGAATCAGGTTAGAAATAGTGATGTGATATCCTGAAATATACAAATAAGAAATCACACAGAAATGCTCTGGGGGGCTAAATACTAAGATCCACAGTGCTAGCAGTTCAAAACATTGTCATGTAAACATATAAATGGCAAAGGAAACAAGCAAACAAAAAAATTCTATTTGCATCTGACAAAATTATAGAGAAAATTGTATTGTATTAAAAAGAAATATCTTTCTACTTGTATATTTGGTTGTAAAACATACTGTAGTAACAGTTTTATGGGAAAGTTGTTTTCTTAAGAATAAAAGATCAGAAGTCTCAACAGATCATTATTTGATTTATAACGTGGGGAATCCTCTTTTGAAAAAAATATCTCCTGACTCCCCCTACCTCCACCCTTGTATCTTCTTCTAGGAAAAGATCACATAATCTGAAAATAGGACAGTGATTCTATTTAAGATGCTTTAGTTTTGTTGATTAATGTATCTGAAAATTTAGCACATAGAAAACCTTCTATGTGTCTGCATGCTCTTATCTGGAAACTATCCCAGGCTCTCTCTTGACAGAAAAAACCGAATAAATTCTGAAACATGAGGTCTTGTATCATCATCTCTTCAGGAGATAAAAACATCTTAAAAATGCCGAGAATGCTAGCAAGGGGGTCAACCAAGCTTATGTAGAAAACCTTTTTCTCAACAATAAAAAAAAGTATGTGTCTCTTTCTGCAGAGCAACCACCAACAACAAAGTACGAGAGCAGGTACTACTGGAGCTGAGTTTTGTAAACTCAGACTTGCAGATCTTAAAGGAGGAATTGGAAGGACTTAATATCTCAGTAGAGGTTTATCAAAATACAGAGTAAGTATAAAGCTAAGTTGCTCAATTATTAACAGATCTTCTGTTTACCACTGGAAACAAAATTGCTTCTAGGTGAATGTGAATGCTGGACAACAATTATGTGAAAGAACAGAGAGCTTGATAGGAAGAGAACATATTTGATGGTAGATTTGTTGACTAAAGGTTAGTCTGCATATTTGTCTTTCACTTGGGAAAGGTATGTACCAGTAATCCTTAGATACGGAGCTCCTTCGTGGAGGAGAGTATTGTCAGAATTGAAAGCTATTGGGGCTTTATGGGGAGACACATGGCACCTAGGGCAGTTTCCAGCACTGGAATGGCTAATTGGTTCAGTGCATTCTGGAGTGAGCAAACCTAGTGATATAGTATCTGTTCTCAAACACAGTGCATACAACAGTCCTCTCTTTAGCTGGAGAATAGAAGTCCAGCACCGATTTAGAGCTCGGAGCAGACCTGAGGTAATCTTTAAGGTGTGTACTTCAGTGATAGAAATTAGCTGGCTAAACCAGAGAAATTTTTGGTAGATGAAGTTGGAATTGTTCCAACTTCATTTTTCCAACTTTAAAGGGCACGCTAAGCTTCAAATTGCAATGGGTCCCTCAAAGATAAAACTTCAAAGTTAAAGATTATTCATTGTCTGACTACAGCAATGATTTCTGTATCAGTTAGATGTCTTGTTGCTCCTAAAACTAAATGTTTACTATTAGAGTAACATTAGTAGCTCAAGACACAAATTGATTAAAGTGCTTCATATGAGGGGGTATAATTTTTGGGTCCCTCTTAGCACTGTTCTCAGTTAGGTGTTAACTTCCAGTTGGACCACAGGGGATTCTTAATGTAGAGGGACTAAGCACATTTCCAGTGGGGTATCTTTCAACTGAATGCTGACTTGATGCAAAATATCTATGTTTCATTTTTATCAAAAAGAAACTTGTGCTAAAGTTCCTGCCCTCTACCCCCATGTCAAGCTTTGACAACTATTTGATGTAAAAATGTTTTTATTCAAGATGTTAGCGATCTTCATAGATGCAAGTCAGCATAGAGAACAGTATGAAAGTTACGGCTGTGGGAATGAGAACAGGACTCCAGAAGTACTATTTCTTCTAGCTAAAGAATATTTGAAATATTTGGATTCTCATTGAAGGGTGAGCAGTAGGTCAGGCCCCAAGGCAGGCAGAAGCCTTGCAGCTGGACAGTAGTATGCTGTTTATTCTCTCCTGACGCTACTTCCCCACTCTGTTTTGAATGGTGTTTTACCTTTCTGATGCTGTTCATTCTAAGCTCTAAATGCTTTTTATGTTCCATCAGCTAAAATAGTTCACTCCCTCTGTAACTGCTCTCCAGCCTTTAATAGCAAATAGCTATTAATAGTTGTTCTGTGAATCCATTGTGCATATAGTCATCAGCATGAGGTCACACCCACGTTACTAAGTTGCACTGTATTGTGTTACACTGATCTGAAGGGTTGGCCTTCCCAGTACTTGTATGCATCTCGGCTGGATTGAGAAGCGTGACGCTATTTCTACTCAGTTCTGGAAATCCAGGATCACCTCCCTAACTGTTCAATGCCCCCATGATGTTGACTCCATGGGTGTGACACTTTAGAAACTTTAAAAATAGAAATTCAGTTCCTTTGAATGACAAATGCTGGTGTCCACAGGGACTGTGAGTAGTACTAGAATTCATTAAATCAGTAAGTTAGGATTTCTTTGTATGTGTCTCACTTCCTTTTGGGGAAAAAGACTTGATATAATCTGTTGTAAAAGTGTCGTGGTTTCTTCTAAAAGCCTTATCAGAAATTAGATCACTTGCACTACCTGCAATAGTGTTTTGGGTCTGTATCCTGGAAGTCCCTTTCAAGCTAGCAGAGCCACTTTCTGGATTGTGCCAACCAGTTTAAGGACTCTTCCTCTGCTGAGGAAGCTGCACTCCTACTCCCACCTTCCCGAGATGGAATTTTCACCAGTCAGAAAGTGATATTTTAGAGGCTGACTTGTTTAGAGATTAACACCTAGCATTGTCTACAAACTAAGTAGTTCTTAGACTTCCTACTCTTAGACCTTTCCCTGTTTAAAGTTGGTATACTTTGGCCCTGTGTTAGACACACATCCCTTCTACATATGAAAACATTGGTTACATGTAAAATACTGATAACTATTGATGATTACCATAGCTCTTACCGTGGCAGATCTCGTAGTAGATGTGGAGCTGTTTTCTGTCCATATAACTTGTGAAGGTGTATAATGGTTGAGCTAAATTGCAGTAAGGCAGCCTTTGAGAGTCTCCTTTTATTTTCTTGAAGGAAAAATAGGCTCAAATGAAGGAAAAGAAGAAAAAAAAAAAAAGTGCAGGCAAATAGGTTTCCTCACTTTCCTCTTGAGGAGTTAGGCCATTAAGCAGACATTCTTGGGCAGGAAGGAACTATTATAAACTATGTACCTCTTACCTGAACACCCATCAACACACTAACTTTCTGTCATCAAATGAAATAAAAATAACTACCTTATCAACAGACAAACAGAAAACAAGTATTTCTGCATCTTTTTGTTTTTTCCATAGAGAGACTTTCAGCATTCCCTTGGTACCTCTTGGCCTGAAGGAAACCAAAGAAGTAGACTTTGCACTCCCCCTCAAGGTAAATTTCAGAGACCCATTTCAGAATGCATAGTTAACAGAAATAACTTCCATTTCAGATCTGTTCAAAGAAGAAGTAATTTATGTACAAATTATTTTTTGTTTCATTTGCCCTAAAACTGAGATCCCAATGTGTTTAAAAATCAACCACCAATTATTTGGGTCGTTGCTAATATCTGACTAGGACAAGGAATCAGAAGATGAGAAATCCCACTTTAGAAACAGTAGAGTTAAACCAAAGAGAATAAAAATTCCTTCTACAGTTTTTGGTTCCATTAAGACTATTGATTACTACTCTGTGTGAAAGGAAGTAGTAATGAAGGTTTTACTCAGCGTAACGCAGTGATACTCCAACTTGCACTAACCAAGCTAGCTCAGTTGGGAAGCAGTGTTGCAGCATTAACACTGTTTGTTTGTTGGCTAATATACTTGGCTGGCTCTTTGAGCCACCATTTCAGAATGCATAGTTAACAGAAATAACTCAACCACCAATTATTTGGGTCATTGCTGGCTCTTTGAGCCACCTTCTGTATTTTTTGGACTACTGTGGGTTGTGCAATGTAGATTTTATCTCATGGTAAACCATCTTATATCACTGTAGCATTTGTCTCTGCTTTTTACTTCTGTAGGTTAATCTCCATGGTCAGCTTATGGTACCACTTTATGCCATTGTAGCTTTGTTAATTTAAGTGGAATTGCGCTAATATAGCTGACAAGAATTTGGCAGTCTCTTTCTGTTAACAAGTTTTTATGGTCACTTGATTCCCTTGTTATTTTAGCTAACAGGGTTCATTTGTCCCTTTCAAAACCACTAAATGTTGTTTTAAAACCTAATGGAGTTGATGTAATAGGTGTTTGGTTCCTTTACACCAGACTAAAATTTCTTGTCTCAGATATCTGTTGTCTTTTTGAAGTCTCATTGCTATATGTTACTATATTATTGACTGGAACAGAGTAGACAACATGCAAATCACATCTGAATCAATTTTGTACTGTTTGTGACTGCAGAAAAAAAATGAATGGTTTAGGTTAATTTTAGATACTCTAATTTTTTACTTTTTTTTTTTTTTAGGACTTTATTCTGGAACATTATAGTGAAGACAGTTCTGAATATGAAGATGAAATAGCAGATCTCATGGATCTGAGACAAGTAAGTTCGAGTATGGCATACCATGAGTTCTTTTAATCTGTTGTAAATAATAACATTTTTATGGAATCAGAATATGCCTCTATTACTTATAACTTACCATATTCTGATTGACTTCATTTCTGAGATACGGTACATGAATTTCCATTGTCCAAGAGCTTTACAATCTGAGTAAAGAACAAATGAAGAAAAGGATGAAGTTATGTGAACTGATTGAGCTATTGACACAACTTTGTAAATCCTGTAAATCTAAGATTTGTCTTATTTATTTTTTTTTTTTACTTTAAAGTATTTTAAATTTAGCAAGAAGAGTGTTGAAGTGAATGCTTCTGGCAAAAGATTGTAGTAGAATGGTGGTTATTCCTAACTATTACTTGCTTCCTATATTATACTAGAAACATAAACTTTCTTTGTAGCTTTCATAAAATACCTACAATCTTTATTTAATTAACTCTAAGACTTGCAAACAGATCCCTTTTACTTCCCTAATTAACTCTGAGACTTGCCAAACAGATCCTCTTTGCTTCCTTAAAGCTTATGTGCTACTTCTGTGCAGCTGAAAAACTCTTATTTGGAATGCATCCATTTGGCCTTAAGCTTAATGTTCTCAGCTTCCACACACTTCTATGATATGCAGAAGTCCAAAGGAAGCAGAGCTTTATCCTTGGTGTTTCAGTATTAATCCTGTAACTCACCAGAATGCACTTTATTTTAATCTATTGTATTTTAAGGCCTGCCGCACTCCTAGCCGAGATGAAGCTGGCATTGAGATGTTGATAAGCTATTTCCTTCAACTTGGTTATGTAGAAAACAGATTTTTCCCACCCACCAGGCACATGGGAGTTTTATTTACATGGTAAGTGTGTAGTTTGTGTTTGTCTTTTGCTTCCCCACCCCCCAACACTGTTAATCATTAACTGTCTTCTGTTTAAATTGAAGCTTGTCAGTGTGTTTCTCCTCCCCTGCTCACTGCAGTGTGTTTTGTCAATTTTTATTTTTATTTTTTAATATTAAGAGTAAACCCGAATACAATACACCCTTTTCATGCTTAGAGTGAAGCCATTGGTTAGATTATGATTTGGGCTACAGGTTAGCACAAGGGAAAAAGGGAGAAAATTAATCTTCTGCAGATGTTTCCTGGACTCTGAACCTTGGTGCACGAAACAAATGGGGAATGGGTCAGGCCATAATTCCCCTCCTTCAATTTGTTAAGAGGAATATTTGAGCTAGAACAGAGGCAAGGGGGCTTAATTTATTATAGTGGAGTGTCTGCTACATCTATGAGCAAGTTTGACTCTGAATTCAGAATTTTTATTTTTATGATGAAAAAATATGATTACCAAGCAGCCAAGAAGAACTGTTAAATTTCTAGTCATAACTGCAAAAAGAAACTTTAAAATACAAGCTATAGACGATCTAACCATGCCAATAGTTGATCTTTGGCAACATCTAAGTATGAGAACATAGCAGCACATATGGATACTTCCCCAGTATACTTTCAGCCTCTGTGATGTTTTATAGGCACTTTTGAGTTAGATATAATATGCTTATGGAGGCACCTTTGTAAAACCTGCTGAAAACTAAGCCTCAAATAAAGCCGTTCCCTGGCTTGCAGCACTTAGATTTTCCTTGCAGTACATACTCGTATTTCTATTCACCTTCATTTTCACTGTAGCAGAACAATTATTAAGAATTCCACTACTCTTTTGGAAGAGAAAAAAAAAAAAAAAGAGAATGAAAATACCTGTTGTTTCAATGGACTCTGCTAATCTTAACAATTCTTTCAATATTTGTTTCCTAAGGTATGATTCCTTCACAGGTGTCCCAGTGTGTCAGCAAAATCTATTGCTTGAAAAAGCTAGTATTTTATTCAACATTGGAGCTCTCTACACCCAGATTGGAACACGATGCAATCGTCAGACCCAAACTGGACTTGAAAATGCTGTTGATGCTTTTCAGAGAGCTGCAGGTACACATTTAAAAATACTGGGAAGATATTTATGCAAATGTTCCTAATCTCATCCTGACATCCTGCAGATTTCTGCATTTCCCACTGACTTCATTACACAAAAAAGGGAAATTCAAGAAGCCTAGTGAAGAGCTGAGATGAAGCTTTAATTCACAACCAGGAACTGTAGTCTGAACATGCAGATAAAGACAGTGAATATGAACACTGTGGTTAACCATTAATGAACTGCAGTTCAAAGGTCCAAGTAATAGCCCTAATGTTAACTGCTTCATTGTTCATTCTTTGTTTCACCAACATAGCTGCTTTTACCTCAGTGATATTACGTTGATGTAAAATCCGTACAAGAAACAATTTAAAGGGCTGATAAAGGGCTTGAAACCTAGTTTTCCATATGGTTCCTTCAAAATTAATATTGCTGTGTTCTCTGGTGAATTTTGCAATTCATTGGAAGTTGACTACATATTTTTCATAGATTCCAAAGGCAAACAGGTTCAAAATACTCAATCTATCTCTGTCCCAAGCAAAGAAAAAGACAAATTCTTGAACTAAAATGTTATAGAAGGTTTTGTTTTGTTTTCCAAGTAGGTTTTCTAATTTTTTGTAAATGTCATCTGTGCTACGTATAATGCTTAAAGATGTGACGTATGTAATTAATGTGTACTGTAAGATTTATTTCTGCACGAACAATCTGTGGCTATTGGTTTCCACTGTGTTGGTAGCTTTATCAGCTACAGACTGTGGATTGCAGAGTTGGATTGTCATAAAACCCATCTTTTGGGTATACAGCTATAAAAAAAAATTATAGTATTTCTTCATGCATTTATTAAATAAATTGTTTTTCAACTTTTGTATTTAATTTTGTATTTCAATACTTGAGCAGCAGCAAAATAGAGAAATTTCTCCTTCCATTTTGCAAATGAAAAAAATCACTGCTTTTCACTTCAACATATTTGCAGAACAGAATTAATTCAGAAATTGAAATGCATCATTTGCTACCACAGTACCTTTGCAGGGCCCCAAAGCAATGTGCTCAGGAGGCATTTCATTGTACCTGTGCACGGCTCCGTAACACTGTTCATTATGTTAGTAGAGACATGATATAGAGCATATATTAACCATTTCTCTGTACTGAATGGATAATGTTGCAAAGAGTTTATCCTCAACAAAGCTCTTGGTGTGTATATGCTTACTGCATAAGCAGAAATATATTGAGAAAAAAAGAAAAAAATAAAAATCTTTTTCTACTTTCAGTCCCTTTCAGTAGGGCTCTCCATCAGCACTTGGGATGTGCAGAGATGGCCCTAATTCAAATTTGTGTCAGGGCATATTAAGATAAAAGATACAAGTGTAACATAAAACCCCCAAAAATCTCAGAAACTGGTAGCAGAAAAATGCAGCACCACATGGACAGAACCAAATGTAGTGGCAAGGTCTTATCAGTATACTTTTGTAGTATTATCAGCAATTAGCAGACTATTAGAACTCACTAAACCAGTTGGATGACGTGTGTGCTGAAGATTACCCTCCCATCAGTGTTAAACTGTTACTTGTTAGAGTGAAACTGTTACTTAATATTTGCACTACAGTTAGTGTTTGTTTTTAATTTGATAAATGATAGAAACTATTAACACATTGGTGGAACCAAATGCCTAGAGCAGAATCTAATTTTACCCTATTAAATATACTGTTCTAGATTACTTACAGGGGTGGAACTGAGCTTTCATGGGGACAGATAATGCACTTAGCAGCACCTGAAAAGGAGATTCATAATTAAGTTTATATGTTTGTGGGTTTCCCTTCCATCCAAGGGTTCTACTGTCACCTCCTTATAGTTGCATAGATTTCTTTTCCTTTCTTATATATGTATAAGCCCTAGCCTACCACTCACATATACAAGTCACATTCAGTTCAGCACAGCTTTATGGTCAATCACAAGAACTGTTATAAGCAAAACTGAAGGTATTGCCTTTAAAACTTGCAGCTTCTGTTGCTCCTCTGAATTGTAATTTTGAGAACTTACCTGGAGATGTTTGATGGGAATGCAAAGCAAAACCTGTAAGTCAGTTTAATTTCATGTGTACTAAGAATCCGTTCAGATTGCTATAGTGCAATACTAGAAAGCATGCTTTCAATCTTAATAATTATGGTATGTGCTAGAATTAAGTTAACTTGTTTCTCTCTTTAATGCTGACAAAACCATTTTGTAATTTCAGGAGTCCTAAGCTACTTAAAGGAGACCTTTACTCACACACCAAGTTATGATATGAGCCCAGCTATGCTGAACGTGCTAGTAAAAATGATGCTTGCACAAGCTCAAGAGTGTGTTTTTGAGCAGATTGGTCTTCCTGGAATACGCAATGAGTTTTTCACACTAGTGAAAATGACACAGGAAGTTGCCAAGGTAAAATGAGAGACTTAAAATGTAGTCTTTAAAATAACTGTTTACAGTGCTGTGTTACTAGCTACAGTCTCTAGTAATATTAACAGAATTTATTAAACCTAAATGTTAACAACCATTACTGAAAACCAAAAGTAACAAGGAACAGCTCGCAACCTTTCAGAAGATTAAATGCAAAAGGCTGCAACTTAACTATCATTATCTTAGAACTGTTGTGATTTGTTTTTAATTAATAATTCATGAAGTTTAATAGAAACATGCTGGAACACTTAGGCAGTGAACTGGCCAGAGGTTTTTTTACAAGCTATTTATCATACTGCTCTTTCAAACAGTACAGATCTTGTTCACAGAACAACACACAAAAGGACACTTGTTTGTGTAGTTCTCTGTTAAGTATTGAACACAACCTGTCCAGGTTGCTCCCAGCAGCTGGAGGTTATGCAAACCTAAAAAGCTTAAGTCCAAAAGAATAACTAAATTATAACTGGGGGAAGGACCCTGGTGAGCAGAGTCAGACTGGTAGCTGCAGAGCTGTCTTGGGACTTGCCTGAAAAATGGGGAGGCAGGCTGTGTGCCAGAAGGTAGTGCTCATACTTGATTGAGGTTGTTGGCATCAAAAATTGGATATGCCAACAAGATATGAATATGCTTTCTGAGCCATTTCAGAGTAGCAGATACATAATTGGTTCCATACTAGATAAATGGGCAAAGCCTTTCCTACCTGTAAAGCCACCCTGACTTATCTGTAGGATTGATCAGCTGGAGGGGAAAGATTTTTTTGATTCTGTCTGGTGGAGTTGTTTGATCCATTAAAACAGCATTCACTGCTTGAAATACTATTTTATTTCCTCTGCATAAAGTAGTAGCCCAGTAAAGATAGTAGCCCAGTTTTAACCAGACCACACAACTTAAGGCTAGATATAACTCCACAGTTTCAGAAGTGAAGCATATGCTTCACTCTTTTCTCAGCTGAAGTAACCCATTAAATTATATTTATTAAATTAAAACCCATTTATTATCTGGTGCTTTTATTGAACTCTGAAGCCATATAGATTGACTGAGTCCATCTGTTCTTGTAGAAAATTGATTTACTTTTCTCATAAGGGGAAAAATCAGAGATGGAATTTCAAATTTTCTCAAAACTTACTTCTAACCCTTTCTAACCATCTTCCCCCCCTATTCCCTTTGCTGTCATGCACATGAAATTATCTTAAGGCTGAATATAATATCCTTTACTTGAGGTCGTAATAACTAATGGTAAATTCTCATACTTCAATTCTGTGCTTTATTTTAGGTGGGAGAGATTTACATGCTGGTTAACATTGCAATGAATCAGGAACCAGTGAAAGAGAATATTCCCTATTCCTGGTCTAAACTGGCACAAATAAAGTCAGACCATTACAAAGCTGTGGCGCATTACTTCATTGCTACCATTCTGTGTGACCATGAACGTAAGAATCATACATTTTCTATATACTAATATAAATAACAATAATAAACACATAAACAGTTATAATTTGATCTATGAATAAGATCAAGAGCCAGGAACTTCGGGGTTTCAATATATGTTAATCTCTGGCCATTTTCTCATTCAGATGTGAGGCCTTTTTTGTCCTTTACAGAAGAATGTGAAAGTTCAATAAACTAACTTTTGCAGAAACAGAAGAAATATTATGTCTGTTATATGCCACTAAATTGTTCAATTCTTGTTGATATGTTCTGGTATATAAGTATTACTTGCATACTACAGATGATAAAACTGGTAAAAGTCCTAAAAACTTGAAATTCCCATCAATATATATGCATAAAAGTATTTGACTGCATTTGGAGAGAAGGTAGTAATAACTACACAACAATACATCTAAAGGAACAGGGCACTAACAGATATGTAATGGTTAATGTTCTGTATCAATTACTACAGTGCAGTCTGGTGATGATGAAGATCAGCAGGAGAAAGCCTTGTCCCAGTTGTATGACTACATGCCTGAAGGACTGAAGGTTCTCACTGTTTTAAAGGACAAAGTTCAGAGAAAACAATTAGGTAACTGCCAGTTTCACACAGCTATGGGATACAATTTGAAAATTACTTTGTATTTATTGTCTATGGAGGACCACCACCAAGTTTCTAATTTTTTTTTCAGGGAAAGCACATTTACGCAAAGCCATTGTTTACCACGAAGAAGCTCTAAGAGTCTGTGGTCTGTGCAAAAAGCTTAGAAACATTGACGTTCTTCAGGAGGTTCTGACAGCCGCACATAAGCGCTCACTTCTCAAATATGCTCAGCAAGAGACAGAAGATGACTTTCTCAGTCTAATACAGGCTCCAGATATCCTTCGTAAGTATACACAGCTAGAAATAAAAGGTATCTAACCATATTGTATATGCTTGCATATGCTTGCATGGGGATATGCCTTTATTTTATATATATATGTATATGTATATAATATGTATCCGCACATAATATAAATAATGTACAAGTTATATAGTGTACGTTTGAGTTCAGGTTCTTTACATGCTTCCTCAATTACAGATAAATTGATTTTGTTACAGCTGCTTTGCAGTGTTTCTGTCTCTGGCCATATCATTTTCTGGGGTAGATAGCAATGGTTATTATTTAGAATTCAGCTTTTTTTTGGTGACTATCTTGTGAGCTAGAAAAGGTGGGGAAACTTTAAAAGCTAAAATCATACAGGGGAAAACTAATAACTGTTTCTTGTAGCACAATTCTCATACTGGTCTAAGTTGTTACCTTGATTTGACTGCTATTGGTTCTTTCTACCTTAGTCTAGCTCATCCAACTCTTTCCTCTTTGAAAGCAGTGGGAAAGAATGGGAGCTGTTTTTTATGTTTCTTTGAAAAATATTTAAGAGGAGAACGACATAGTTTTGTTTAGATGGAGTGTTTTAAGTTTTCTGTATTGATACTATGAGCTCTGAAGATATCTTTAAGGAAATTCAGATACTTGTCTTAAACATTTCCACGAAAATAAGGTTTTTCTACAGCCTAGTAAGAATTTAGAAGAAAATTCTGTCTAGCTTGGAATGCAAGAAAAATGAATTTGTATGTCTTTTAACTAATACTTGAGAGAAAATTAATTTGTTTTTCTTTGTTTTAGCTAAAACGGAGCACAAAATAGAAACAATTGCTCCTCAGTTTTCCAAGGTGAAAGTTAAAGACTTCTTCCACAGGCTGGTACGTAATGTGCTAATGCGACCTCTGTCACTTTGCTAGCAAGTATAAATTCACTCTAACATGAGGGAAGGGGCGTAAGTATTTTAGCCTGAAAAATGATTGTGTAGTAACTGGGTTTTTTTCAGAAGTTGTTGGAGAGATTGTTCCTAACTTCAGAGGTATAACTCAAGACTAGAAAAGAATAAAAGTGCCGCTTGTATATGTATGCCGCTTGTATATGCTGCTTTGCGCAGCATTTATTCTTGATAATCTTTATAAAAGTCCCATGAAGTTTCAATGGATAATTGCATACAACTTCAAGGTGGGGAGGAAACGTAGTAGTTGGAGAAGACCTTAGAGCCTGCTGCAACCAAAAGATTCTGCATCCCTTCACAGAGATCTCAGAAGAACTTGGCAGTTGCTCCCATCGTACTCTGTTTGAAGTATCACCTGAACAGTCATGAAGTAGGGCTGAGCACTTCAGGGGACATCTTAAACTTCTGGGATAAATCTCACTGTTCCACTTCAGTGGACGTAGCTGGAAGTTAACCTGAGTAAAACCTACATAAGATGAGCTTAAAGCATTATGACTTAAAAAAATATAAATGCTTACTTACGAATGACAGTAAGCCATAATGTGCCTGCTGCTGTGTTACCTCCAGGGCCCACTGACAGTGTTCTCAGCCAAGCAGAGATGGACGGCTCCACGTACTATTCGCATCCACTATGAAGCAGGAGAGCTAGGATTCAGTCTTAAAGGAGGTTCGCCAGTACAGATTTATTGTCTTGATCCAGCTTGTGCTGCAGCAGTAAGTACATTACATTAGTGCAATATTAACAATTTATCTCCAGGCTCTAGCATTATAGTCTCTTAAATGTAACTTTAGCTTGTTCGTATTGGTGTATGGAGTATTTATTGAGTTCTAATATACATCAATATAGTCAATTCAATATAATCTGAACACATATTCAGTGCTATATACACCTTAGATATTAGAGTATGCGTATGACATATGTAATAATAAACTAGAGTTGATTTCTTCCTCTGTTCACACTTTATAGATAAAAAGTCTCAAATAATAAAAGCAAATGTTATTCCCCACTTAATTCAGAAAGTTAGAAGAGGTAAAGGCTTTGGGAAGTAGCAATAAGGATGAGGATCAGGAAGGGAAGGCAATGTAGCATGTGCCCAAACAAAAAAGAGGGGAAAGAACCTATTATTGGCTTCTAATATGTTGGGTTTTTTGGGGGAAGAAACCCGAAGGGATAAAGCAGCATGCAGTGATGAGCACAGTTTTAGCTACAGGAAAGACAGAAGCAACCACAGCAGTACAAATAAAAATACTGAAGAAACAGAAGTAAAAAAGCAAGAAAATATCTTACAGGGGCCTCACTTAAGGAGAAATGTGAAGAGGACATAAAAGGTGTTAATCTTTGAGTATGCCAGAATCACATTTATCAATGGTAACTCAAATGGGTAATTTGTGCACTTGAAAAAATTGCATGTTTCTGTTATGTATGTACTTTTGTTCCACATGTCTGGCTAGACAATGGTTTTATAGGATCTAAAAGGGAAGTGCCTTTAGGGCAGATACTGTATGATGACAAAAACATTTTATGCATCTTTATAATTCCAGATAATAACCTGTGCAAAATTTTTTGACAGTCGATGGGCCTAAAAGAAGGTGACTACATTGTTTCAGTTGGCAGCGTGGATTGCAAGTGGCTTGGAGTGAATGAGGTGCTGGAAAAATTCAAAAGCGTGGGAGAACAGCCCATTGAGATTGAGGTTATCAGTTGCCAGGATACAGCAGCGTCTATGGTATATAATGAGGCAAATATTTTTTACAGATTGGATATGTGAGAGGTTTTTCAGTTTCCTGCCTTCAGTCCCTGATTAATGTTTACTTTCATGTAGTCAGATATCCCACTCCACCAGTGAATACATAAAGCATTCAAGCATGTGTTGTTTTAAACAGTCTGTTTAAATCATTGTGACTTAGCAAGCTAAAGTACAGTATGTCTGTGTGCATTAGAATGGTTGGGTGGTAGGTTTTTTTGTAGTGGAGCTACTTAGATTAATTGCATTATAAATTCCAGGGCATACTTTATTTTCCCCTAACTTGTTCCAGAGGATGAAAATATTATCCTGTTCAGTATTGGAAAAGTCATAGTGAAACAATAATGGAATGAAATAGAACATCCAAGACTACGTGCTTATTTTCTATGTACTGTTAACATAAGTGATATGTGACTTTTGTATTGATCATGGATTAATGTATGTATTTTTAATTTTGGTGGACTTGTAACTGTCTAGTTAGTTACAAAGGTACCATACAAGCTTTAGATTAAGGAAAAACAATCACAAGATTAAAAAATGTTAAGCTCTGAATAACTTAAACTTATTTGTAGTGTGAGAGAACCTGTAGTTCAGCTAAATCCACTGCTTCATGCTTCTGACATTCCCTGGCAAGCTTAGGCACTGAAGTATTGTTGCCTTAGAAGCAAACAAGGTGCTCTTACTGCTGTTAGGTTTTCTTGTTTTGTTCAAGAAGTTCATTGTCCTTATTGAAAATAAGAAATTGCACATGTGCCATTCTAAACTGCTACTGGAAACAAAAGGCTAGAATAGAATCAAATTGCTTCAAGGCACAGCCGTGCCTTTCAGGTATCCCAAAACAACGTCCTACAGCAGCTTTTGTTGTCGTAGTTGCAATCAACATGGCACCTGCCCAAAGACAGCAAAAAGACTGCCCTTCATAGATTTGTGCAAGAACTACATACTTAAGCTTTGCAGAGAGGTTAGTGTATATATTGTATAGTTATGCTAGAAGCCACTAAATGCTAACTGTAACACAACCCATGAAAAAGATTCATGAATCCCTTCACACTTTTGTATAGTATACCCTTGTGTCTACATGGGCAAACTACCAGAATCACAGTACTCTGAAGAGCCTTGTGTTCCCTTAGTATGTCATTAGCACAGAAAGCTTGCTGTAGTCTGCCTTGGAAAACTATTTGCACAGTAATCTTTTGTTATCTTCAGAATTTTGACCCATTTTGGGTGACTTGATTCTTATAATGCTTCTCTTTTTCCATAGCATAGCAAGAGTGCAACTTACTCTGTGGGAATGCAGAAGACATACTCCTTAATCTGTTTAGCCATGGAAGAGGATAAGATTGATCAGACCAAGAAAGCCCCACTGAAACTGCCTTTTCTAAGCTGGGGAACTAAAAATAGACAGAAAGCTGCAAGCACCCTCTGCCTTCCTTCAGCTGTGGCTGGAAGTTCTCAGGTTAAGAAGAAGCTTTCTCCCTTCACACTTCTGAATACGGAAAGTTCATTGTATTGAATCATTCAGAAGGACCTGTTACCATGATGTTTTTCTTAAAAATGTATATAAAATATTGATCAATTTTACCTTTATATATGTATGTGTAAATTCAGACAAATGCCATTTGACTTCATTTACTGTGTACTGAGCCACTATGAAGGTCAGAGGCTGGCAGAAACTGTAAAACTTAAGTATTTGAAGGTTAGAATGAAGTGGTTTGGGAGGTATGGAATAACAATTTGTAGATGATAAAATTGCTTACATGAGGACTGGATTCCTTTGGAATTTCAAAATACAGTATCGACTAATTTTTTTACAACTATGATAGATGGGAGTTATTTATTACAAACTTGATGCTGCATGAAAAACAATAGGGGAGATATTAAAGGATGATTTTGCTGTAAAAGTTTAGAGTCAATAATAAATCACTTATTTTAAAGAATTATCTTAAACCACAGAAGGGAGAGAGAATAACATTATTCAGAGAAACTAACCTTGTGCCAAGGGGCAGTGTCATGTAGTTGTCATTTTTATGCATACACATTCTCTTTTCTGAGAGTACTAGGTGTATTCTACTGAATAGTTAATTTAATTCTGGAAGAGAATTAGAGGGCTTAGAAGTCAAAAGATCTTTTGAACTACAAAAGGCGTTTACTCCGTTCTTTTTTTATCTAGGTTACATTTTAAATGCCTGTCGATTCAATTGTGAAAAACAGGCTTTATTCCAAACTTGAAATTATTTAACCTACTTACCATAAGACTTGTATCTCACTAGTCTTGATAAAATTAATAGCTGTGGAACAAATCTCAAAACTGACCAATTCCAGTATATTGATCAAGAGTACATAAATTGTGGTGATGCTTTAAAATATGAGAAGTGCTTGTGAGTCTAAGCAGCAGAATATTTATTTACTATCACACCAAGTAAAAAACCAAATAGATATAAAACCTTCCTCCTCCCCTTGGAACAATTAATGAGCAGATATTGGCTATATATAGTAAGGAGGGAGACAAAAATTATCTGTGTAAGCATTTCTTTGAGATTTTTCTATGTTCTAAAATTGAAATTAATTGAAAATTGCTAACACTGTAGTGTTAGTTAACATTGCCATCTACAGAGTAGATATATGCTGTTTGATACTCAAAACTTAAAATGGGGGAAAGTTTGCATCTGGGTGTAAACTTTGAAGTTGTCACTTATTTTTAGTTTCTTATGTAATAGGTATAAATATGTTGATGACACTTATTTAAGAATAAAAATCAGTTGCTGACACTTAGTAGTAGCTTTTTGATTTTGCTACAGCTTGGATGATACAGCATAATTTAGTATAATATCACGTGCTGGCCAGATCTGTGGCAAGATGATTCTCCCCCTCTGCTCTGCTCAGACCCTACCTGGTATACTGCGTCCAGCTCTGGGATCTCCAGTACAAGACAGACATGGAGCTGTTGAAGCAAGTCCAGAGGAGGGCCACAAAGATGATCAGAGGGTTGGAGCACCTCTCCTATGAGGACAGGCTGAGGGAGTTGGGGTTGTTCAGCCTGGAGAAGAGAAGGCTCTAGAGAGACCTTATTGCAACCTTCTAGTGCCTGAAGGGGCCTACAAGAAAGCTAGAGAGAAGGACTGTTTACAAGGGTAAACAGACACAAGAGTGACAGGATGAGGGGTAATGGCTTTAAGCTGAAGGATGGGAGATTTAGATATTGGGAAGAAATTTTTCACTATGAGGCTAGCGAGGCACTGGAACAGGTTGCCCAGAGAAATTGTGGATGCCCCATCCCTGGAAATGTTCAAGGCCAAGTTGGATGGGCCTTTGGGCAACCTAGTCTAGCAGAGGGTGTCCCTGCCCATGGTGGGGGGGGGGGTAAACTAGATGATATTTAAGGTCTGTCCGCCCCTGGGGGGGGGGGGGGGGTAAACTAGATGATATTTAAGGTCCCTTCCAACCCAAACCGTTCTAAGATAATTTACAGGTTTTCACTCTTTAGGGCTGACATGCCTCTTACATGTTTCTGTAATATTGCTTAAAGATCTAGGAAACTTAGAATCTTACAGTGCATAATACAGGAACTTACAAGTTACAGTCTAAAACTTGCTTCCTTACAAAAAGCATTAAAATGAGTTGCCCTATAAAGGTTATGTGAAAAAAGTTGTAAATTACTTATGACTCACCTATCCTTAGTAGTTTTTCTTCATGTGTATTTGTAGCAGCACTTTTTTTACGCCACAGGCAGCAGCAGTCACATATCGATACCCAAGATCCTGCCATACAATATTCCATACGGAAGAGATTCACTTTGCATGTATGGCTAAAATTACTATCCAGCTAATGAAATCTTTAGCAAAGTCACATATTAATCACCCTTCCAGCTCTTCATTTCTCTTAGTCTTCCTACAACTATCATAGTGGGCTATCTTCCCCCTTAGCTGAACAGTTAACTGCCTTTCCATTCCCATTATCACACTCACTGGTCCTTGAGGAAAGGTTGTGGTAGGGATCTTTTTTTATTTAACCACACACCCCCCTCAATTGAAGTCAAAGTTTGGGCTTCTCAAGTGCCATACAAATAGATACTTATTATTTTCTGTTGGCTAACTGAAGACTCATTTTACAATGAGTGGTAGCCAACAGCTAACTTAAGGCAAATACTAATTTCACAGCAAGTTATGTTCTTGCTTAGACCACAGGGATGTAACAAATTTCTATCTATAAGGACATATAGGGCTACATCAAGCTATACAGCCCTAAAAATAAAGATTTGCAATAGATTAGTAGTTCAGTCTATAACTGTTAGTACTAGCTGTTACTACTTTAATTGAACTTTATTTAATGCACTGAATAGATGGTCATTTGAAGTCATAAAAAGGTGTTTGCCCTGCAACATCAATAGCCACATACCTTTAGATGTGAAATCTGGTCTCCATAGCAAGGTGACCAAGCCTGAGAAAGAGGCAATAAAAACTAAACAGATTTATAAAGAAGCTTAAGCAGTCCCTAGTTGTAAGAAGGCAGTATCTTGTTCTGTAGTTCTGGAAATGCTGTTGTTTATTATTCACTAAATTAAATATTTATGCCCAAATTATAAGTGTATTTTCATTCCAAGTAAGGAATCAATATAACAGGTAAGTCTGCTGTCCATGATAACCAGTGCATGAGATGGTTACAGGGGTGCCAAGGTTCTATGATTCACATCTCTTTAGCTTACAAAAGGGAGTTGAAAATCCTGCTCAACTGCTTTCCTGCTGTGATCCAAAACCCAAGTAGCATGAAAGAAACTTTTCACACACCTCCTTAATGGGTGCATAAGGAAAAAGGTAATTTTACCCTTACTAAATAGCATAAGAATATAATTTAAAATAAAATGCAATATGTGCTTTCCCCTATTTTCTTTGCAATGTAGATTATAATTGATATTATATTTTATATAT